TAATCTCATAAAAGGTTATTGTTACAATAGTTCTAAATAAATTAAATAAACAATTCAAGCTAACCTTGGATCTCGAATTACTATAAGTCCAAACAATACTTGCTATTCTTATGGCTTCATGGATGAGTAGAAACCCATCAATTAGCACAGTAATACCCCCCCCCCCTCCCGGGGGTTAAATCTTATTGGGAAAGAAATCCCAGTTTGTTCTCCCTTTCTTCCCCTAATTACAAGTTCAGTAAAACTTAACCTAATTCTGCCATCAATTAAAATCACATTAATCCCTAATGTTTCTCCAATTAGCCGGTTTTTCTTTGCAAACTTAGCATACTCCTCAACTAGCGAAATTCCTTCCCCAAATACCTCTCACACACATAAAGAGAAGACCATTTCCTTTTTAATTTTATTTGTGCTTTTACCTTAATAGCAAACTTTTTGCATGATAAATAATTTATTTTGCCTCATATTTGAAACCTTATGGTAGAGAAACTTAATTTTTTTTATATATAAAAAAAAAAGAAACCGTTGAAATGGAAAAATGAAAAAGGTATAGTTGTAGAAAAACTGTTTAGATAAAAATATAAATTTTGTTTTATTTCAATTAAAAAATAATCTTTAATTTATCATGTTGTTATTGTTATCTAACGACAAAGTTTGTATACTTTAATAAAAAAATTATTAATATTTAATTTAAAATTTTCAAAATTTTAAAAAGTAAGTGTTGAGTGAGTTTTTTTTATAAAATTTGATATGATTTAATTTGAATTAATTATGGTGTGTTTATTGATGACCTGTGGGTATGAGTGGAAGGAATTCGATTTCTTTAAAATAAGATCTCGAGTTCGAGTATTGTGAATAGAGAAACATACGCTGTGAGAGTTTCCTCTAATGGGGTATGACGTTACTCGATTTCGTATTAGTCGAGCTGTAATGTGGTTACCAGATATTAGAAAGTTAACATTAAAAAAAAAAAAAGGGTGTGTTTGAGATTATTAGAAAGTGTTGTGATTGTAATTGTAATTGTGATTATAACTATATTAAATTATATTATATTGTAATTGTGATCGAAAGTTATTTTGATATTTGATTATTTATTTTTTAAAAGTATTATAAATGAAATATGGTAAAATTTAT